ATTGGTCACAGAAAATCATGTGATGTCATCTCAAACTTCCCACACAATTAATTTCATGAGATTATAAACTAAACTGAATATCACCTACAATTTGCCTTCTGAAACTTGAATTTTGTTTTTACACCATGTTCATGTTCAATGGTGTATAGTAAACTGATCAATGAATATGAATTAATTGAATTAAAAGGTTTTACAAATTTAACATGAAAAATATTCAATCAAATACCACGACATACATAAAAAATTGTAAAATGAATAACAACTGACAAGGTAATAGACCAGCAACTCTTTATTTAAGCAACGAATTTTCTCTACATTTTAAAAGAACAAAAAGCCACACTACTTACTACGTAAAATATTACGAAGTTTTCTCAAGTACTTCATTAATTTTCAATGAATAACCTCTTACACATATTAGCCAAATGTTCTATACGCACTACGCTTGTAGGAATAGAGCGGTTATTCGAAGGTTACTCATGTCAGGTCTCTCATCGGCTGCTTGTAGACTTCAGTTGTATCAAAACATTATATACGAACAGTTCGGTGTATTTCAAGGAGCTAGTTTAAACTCGCCTCACTGCTAATGCTGTAGATACAAACAATATAACATAGGTCTTAATCTATTATTGAAAATATTAATTCATAAATAAAGAAGTAAATAAATATTAATTTCATTTTCTCATTATCTTTATAGATATTGAAATATTCTGAGAAAAACTTTTGAGTTATACTCAACGTTTTCAATGAATTCAACATTGATGGCAGTACTTGGTGTTGGTGAGCCTATGCTGTCTATGACGTCAGAAATCGACATAAGACAGAGCGTTCTATTTTCGTTCTCCAGTACTCCGCCAAACATCCAGTTAGCAATAGGAAACCATCGCTTAAGGAGTGAGAACCTGGAAATCTTCCGACAATCACATGAGCCATACGCTGTCGTAGGCCATATTGACAGTGAGCGGATTAGTGTGGAGTGAGTGAGCTGCGTGCAGAGACGTGTGAGCTTGTGCTAATACATTTTTACTTTTTTGAATCCTTTTTGAACCTTTTCTACTTTATATCCACCAAAATGAGCGACGCACAGGCCAACCCAATTTACGACCCTTTTTCGGAGTTATGGGAGCGGCTCGGCTATCATATTCAGTGGTAAGTGTACCAAGAATTCTTATTGATTTGTGGAGGGTGGAGGTCTAATTCTTGGGGGAAAATGGAATTCTTAGTTTAAAATTGTTTAAAACCATTATATATTCAGGCATCTAAATTTGTTACATCCTATTGGAATTAATTGGCCACATGGTAGAGCAGTAACGTATGTAAGGGTCTTCGAACTAATCGATATAGCTAGTTAAAGCATGTTCATCTTCTATAACTAAATACGAAAATAAAAAAAACTGAAGCGACATCGTTTATTACTATAAGTCGTTGGTTTTAAAGACAAATTAGTTACGCATATGGAGTACGCACTGTCTTTCTTCACTTCCTTGCCGAATATTTTGCTCTTACGATAAAAATGCTTTTGTAAGTTACAGGTGGTAAATGGTTAAAATTCTTAAATTGGAAAAGATAATACAAAAACGACGTTTTAGGGTAATCAAAAGATTTTGATTGTTTTGTTACTGAAGCCTTTTTTTCCCCTCTCATATTGTAGCGCTAGGAGCAGCGTACGAACTGCCAAGTCGGGCACTGGCATCGCAGCAATGTCTGTTGATGCGGCCCAGAACTTATTATGAAAATCCATCATTCAGTAGTCATGGCAGTATTGTTGCCATTTATGGTTGGTCATAGCAGTATTGATAGCTGGTTCACTGGGTGACGCAAAAGACTATCCTTTGATAAGTAAGTAGATCACCATTCATAGTTTTCAAATATGCATTCTATATCAGCAGGCATAAAATGTTCTCTTAAATTTCAGGGGCTTCATGCACTCGTGCAGGGCTGGCAGTCGTTTTAGTGGTTAGCTGCTGGATTGCAATTGGCATTGTGTGACGCTGGTGTGCGAGGGGACGCTCAAACAGCCTCGCTTGTTTCGTTTGGAATGATTCTGATCCTCATCTTCGCAGAAGTTTAGGTCTTTATGGTCTCATCGTTCCATTTTCTTGTACACAAAGTAAACAGTCAAACCCTAAATATTAAAAAAAAAAACATGCGCTCCCATCATCCATGTGTAATAAAATTATGTTCTTGGAGGAAGTTCTCTTTAATGTGATTGTGAATAAGAAGAACTCTCTATTTCTCACTCTGAGCTGATCTTCAAAAGGCAACAACCTCATTTGTAAATTATATTATAGCCCTAGTAAAATTGGCACTTCATTGGAAAGTAGCACAACATTTAAGAAAGCTGAATGTACAACGAGCATGTGCCCGATAAGAGAATTGTGTTGATTGAAAGGTTAGCATGTGACTAGGATTATTTATGTTTGTGTGAACATATCATGTGTGACAAGATGAAAATCTTTTGTTCGTTCCTGTGCATATTGATTGCTTTTCATAGAAATGGGCATATTGATGTGTGACAATGTACAGTGTATTAAAAAGTATATCATTCAGTTTCTTGTTTTCTGGAAAGTTCCTGGCTTCAAGCAACACATTTCTCATTAAAGAACATACCAGAACAATGTTGTACAAATCGGTGTATATTGTAATGAAAAACTATGGTACTTTCCTGGAAAAACATTGCAGGAAACTAGGAAGTAATATGCCATGAAATAATTGGCTGTGTCTTTGTGGTGTAGCTTTGAGGTACTGGGCCTTCTATCTGTGAGATAAATAAGTTGATTGAAAGAGATTCATAAACTCGGCTCTAGTTGTAAAATTCGAGTAGTGTTTAGTTACATAACAACCATTTCCACTGTGAGATGGTTAAGGGGTTTATTGGAGATTAAACATTAATGTATACATTCATTTTCTGCCACTGCTAACCGAGGAGTATACAGTGCTTTTTTGTAAGTTGCTACAAGACATTGCCCTGGTGTTATTGATATTTATACTTAATTTGTCAGACAAATGAACTGCTGTCTAAGGTCAAGAGCAACTAAATTTACTAGATTTCTGTTGAAATTTGGTGCCTATTGAGAATGTAATTGGTCCGCTAAATATGCAGCAAGATGTCTATCTAGTTGGGTAATGGTATTGTGTAAAGTGCAGTATTCTGGTAGCCAGATAAGGTTTGCCTGGTTGCCACGTGTTATTTTTTTTAAAGGACATATTTAGATAGTTGTCACCAAAATATTCCAAATGTAGAAAATTTGTGATTGATCCCTTCAGCTTTACCTATACTTGCAGATGCTTAAAAGAACTATTGGTGTTTGGTTTTGATCTTCCAGTTAATGCGATTGTAATATTGAGTTGGGCAGAGTATCGTGAATTTCACCTCTAAATTAAGCAAACCGGAGGATGGGTCTCAGTCACGATTCTAGGATGCCAAGATTTCTCAGTCCAAAAATTTCCTATTTATCCAGATGGTTAACCATACATGTTAATTATGTAGTGTGTATATAATATATATATTGTAACAAAAGGATTACTCAAATGAATTGTTCAATGGGTGTGTGCATAGAATGTCTGGTGTGTGAATGAAATGTGAAGAAAGTATATATGTAATGTTAATTACATTCAGTAATTTCATATGCACGTAACTGGTATTAAAGGCATTTATATTAGAGCAGAGGTCCATGCAGTGGCAGCTTGTAGATGAAATTCAAATTATAAGTGAATTTAGTACGTGTTGATTTTTGGAGTACATAATTACTTTTTTGGAAAGAGAACTAGGCATCATACATAACTTTTGGTAGAAAATATTAGTTCTGTTTGTATATATTTTAATACTGTAACTTACCAGAGTATAATGCTCTGATTGTTTGACTTTTGTTAATATGGTTGATGTACTGCTGTAGTATTTTCTTTAAAGACCAACTGGCATGGCTGATTCCATTGTGTGCACGTGACAACTGCCAATGAACATAAATGCAAATTGGATGGATTGGCTGTATGTTGGTTTGACTGATAGTTATAGGTGGTCCTTGATCTTACATTTCAACCAGTTTTAAATGTATAGTTGTATTGCCTGTTAGGGCCTTGTAAAGTTAAATCATGGTGTTGAAAAAAATAAAGAAATCTTTAAAAAATTTAATTTGTAGGTTCATTACTAGACACCCAAACCATTTTTTAATCCTTAATTACCTCCTAAATTTAGTTCGTCACATAGTACTAGATGTTGAATCTAATCTTCAAAATAACCTTTAAAGTTTGCTGCCATGAATATTTTCCTAAACTGCTTTGTACACTTATGATTGTTGGGGGTTGAAGATAAAAATTTCATTTTTTTGTCTTTTGGGCAAAATTTCGCGATTTCAAGGTTCGCTCATCTTCAGCTTCTTGGATTACCACGGCAAAAAAGAGCCGGGCAGCGTAACGAAATGTGAGCCCCCCTCCCCGAAAAAAGTTGAAACTATCAATAAACACGGACTAACTCAAGCATGGAATAAATGTGGTGTAGTTTCCATGGCAACCGCTAATCTCCGAGATACTTACTTTAAGCGTGAAATAACCTAGAATTGCGAAAAGAGACAAATAAGAAAGATCTATTTGTGCGTTTTGCTTCATTGTATCAGTCATTTTCAATTCGTCTGTACTTTCTTTTCCTGTTTTCTCGAATATTTAGCAACCTAGTTTATTTCTTTAATCATAAATTTGTTAGTGGTTTCTTGGATTTTTTGCATTGGAAACTTAGTGGTTTTGTTGGCGTATCTTACTAGAAATACAAGGGTAAACAGCATTGATGAAATGTACGGACAGCCGAGGAAAAAAAGTAGCAGAGCTCATGTGAATCTTTTTGAAGGGCATTCAGCTGAATTTCGAAATAATGTTTTTTTTGTTGTTTTTTTTACGTGAATACGTTTTCCTCCTCCGTCGATGCACGTGCCCTACCACGCCGCCTACACAAACGCCCTTTGACCTTGAAATTAGTGACTTATGATGTATTGTCATAGTGCAAAATATATGTCCAAACAACACTGTTAATGTTGAATGTTAGTTTCAAAATCAACTTCCATGACCAAATAGTGATGCGTTTTCGCATCGTTGGGAGTTCCGTGACAGTTTCGGGAGCGGTCGAAATGTTACGGCGCCCCAACGAACTGTTAGCATAGAGGCTTAGTGTTTCGAAAGAGACGTGATATTAGGAAGAAGGTGCTGACTGGAATGTTTTGTTGACATCTCAGTAGTTTTCTGGGCACTCAAACAAGGCATGGCACAGTTTACCTTCCTATATGAAACAGTTCGCGTGTTCATCCGAATAATTCAATAATTGTACAAGGAAGTGTATCTCGAATAAAGTTTAAAATTAAGACATTTCACCTTTCGGCTACTTAAACCTTTGACGAAGTGAACACAAGAATTGCACTCCTCTGGATTGCAAAAGTGTTCGCAATCTGGCGTGGTTAACCATAACCTATCAGTTGCATACTTCGGGCGACACTTATCTGAGGGATTTGGTTTCATGTTGTAGTACACAAAATGTGACAAAAAATATTTTTGAAACCATTTTATCTTCTTGGTGGATTATCAAAGAAGGCGCGAATGTTTGACCTTAGATGGAGTAATTTGCAGTTTCACGAAAATTATTAAAGAATATGAGGATATCTTAAGTACTTTTAAGTCCTCTTGCAAACATCTGTGTGTACCACAATCTTTTTTGTCGTTTATCTGTCAATGATTTCTATGCAAATACAATTGTAGCAATTAAGAGAAAATCGTATCAAACTGTTCGCTTCGAACAAGAAAAAGTGGGTTCAAAACAAAAGTTGTGTACTTGATCGAGAAGCATAAGAAGATTCTGATTTGCATGGGATATTTACATTTCAGCAGCAGGAAATACTTCAAATTGGAGCGATTTCGAATAGCCCTCTCTTCAGAGAAACTAGGGGGACTATTAACGAAAATATGGGTACGGAAATCGCAAATTGCAAATTAGGGTACTAGGGCAAGAAGAGATTGACAGGCATGTGGATTATATAATTGGTGGTGTTAAGAATGCATGCAGACAACGTAAAGTTCGTAACAAAAGACTTGTTACAAATTAATGTAACAAAAAGTCAAACACATTTTCATTTCATTTGCTTGTTTACATCGTCATGCATAAATTTGTATTCTGATTGCATACCAGAAAATATTGTGGACATTACTTAAGAAATTACTAACATTTCTTTAAAACCCGTCTGTACTTTTGTCAGTCACACTTCAATCGGGGAATAGTTCTTAGCGCGAACGGTGGATTACGGCACTAACGATAGATTTGTATTCACCGATGAT